CAAACACACACACACACACAATTACCTATCAGACATAACCAGTTCTTATTTTGTAATAAAAAATCAGTTATATATTAATGTTTATATACTTGATAATGTTATTATAATATAATTTGCTTTTGTAATATGATGCATTTACAGATTTTTTACAATTATAATTGTTTCTTATAATTATTAATTTTATTGCTATTCTTCAAATTTAGATATCACTGATGAGAATGAGGAAATATATGCTGATTTGCTTACAGGAGGAGCTGTTAATTTAGGTAAAGTTTATATAATTAATAAAATTAACATTTAATATATATATATATAATAAATTAAGTTTTTTCCTTTTTAATTTTAAATAGTTACAACTTCTGAGCTTCACATCAAAAGAGAGATCGAAGACAATTTCACAGAAATGAACAAAAGAGCAATTGCAAATGTAAGTCATTAGCAAACAGTGAGTCATTTTTACTGTTTAGCGGTCTCTCTCACAGTCTAAGTCACTTTGATTTTCTTATTGCGAATAGTCACACAATTGTAAAAATTTATTGAAAGATCGATAATCATGGTCTAATGCATGTAGGATTTGTAACTCCTAGTGCTAAAAATTGATCAGCTAAAAATTGAGTGGAGTTGAGGAAATTTTGAATGAGAATTCTTGCCAAACGCAATTAGAATTTGCAAATACGCTTGAAGTAACCCAGCAAGACGTTTCCTATTGCCTAAAACAGCTAGAAGTTGATCAATAAAGGCCGAGAATTAATTTTTACACCTAATATATACTTACTTGAAAATTACATAGAATTGTAAAGTTTATGCAAAATATGCACTTTAAACTAATATATTCGATTTATGCAAATATGCAATTTATTCAATTAATATGTTCGATTTATGCAAATATGCATTTATGCAAAATATTCAGTTACATATTTTTGCATAAATATCCGCAGTCTAGTGTCGCAGGAAACTTCTTTCCACAATTTCTCAATACAATTGTAAAAATATTCAGTTTACATGTAGTGAAAAAAGTATTGTGGACAAATAATCATATGATGTTTAAATTATTATGTCGAAAAACCTATGCGTGTTAATTTTCAACGTATTTTTACGTAATTAATTTGAATTTGATATACTGATGATAACTTAATAAGGATTAAAATGTTTATATTTATTTAAAGAATACTTCGAAAGTTTGAATTTTTTAAATTTGTATAAGTGCATTGATATTATATCAACTTTAGTATATTATTTGCCCTGACATCATAGTTCAACATTGACAGTAAACAAATTAGACGTCAACAATAACACGTCAACATAAATGTAATAAATTAATTTTTATTGCAGTTGAAGCTGGCAAAAAAAAAATTCAGAAAAATATTCACGATAACAACGGTAATTATTTAACATATATTTGTATAGTATTGTATGTATACAAGATGTCCCATTTTTAAGAATCCATTCAAATACCTTAGAAACACTGTGTTAAATCGAAGAATGTTTTAGATATAAATAAGAGATGAAAGCCATTTTTGTTCAGAGCGAGCTTTGGTGGTTAATTAATAATCTCACTCAATTATTTTTTAGTTTATGGATGTATTTTAAATCCGATAAATTGAATCGCCGCACAATCTCTAAAATTGATAATTATAGTTGTATATTTATGAGTATTATTAAGCACCAAACGCACGCACACGCTTTGAATAAAAATGGATTTCATTTCTTATTTGTATCTAAACACTTTCCAGTTTATTTCATTAAAAATACTGTTTATAACAATATAACATAATACATAGTATTTTGTTAATGTTATAATTGTAGCATTTTTGATATATAGTGGATTTTAAACCGATCTTGTTTGGGGATTAATGATGCTACAAGCTTTACTATTGGTAGAATATGTAACGTTAACCAAGCAAAGCTTTAATTCAATCAGGTTGATTTAATATCCGGTACAATCGAAAACACTATTAGATAGTTTCATATATCTATAGTAAAAGATAAAAAGTTTTAAGTAATAATATGTCAACTTGAAGGGCCTATCCTATAACATAATAGTTACAGTTATTAAGAATTATACAATAGGCCTCTAAAAATGTATATAAATTAATTTTTTTACAGTTGAAAATATGGAAAAAAAAGTTTATGAAAATATTTACTCTAATGAAGGTAATTATTCAACATATATTTGTAATATTATATAAATATAAATAAGAGAAGAGAAAGTCCGAACTGAGATAATTATGAAATTGTTATTTTAGTTCATGATTGTGTTCCAAGTCTTTTTTTTTGCTTAACCAAATTAGTACATATTCTATAGAATTGATAATTGTACTTGTATATATCACACATATGAATATTATTAAATACTAAGATCGGCTTTTTGACCTAAAACGGCTTTCATCTCTTTGCGTTGAAACACTTTGGTTTATTTTGCGTAATATTGTTTATATCAATATAACATATATAATACATAATATTTTATATCATATCAACTTAAATTAATCAATATAATAATAAATTAATTGTTTTTACAGTTGAAATTAGGAAAAAAGGAGTCGAAAAAAATATTTAAAATAATAAAGGTAATTGTTCAACATATATTTGTAGTATAGTTTTATGTATATATTAACATAAATGAGAGGAAAAAATCATGAATCCCTCCCTAATGAAATTGTAATTGTGAAATTATTTCTTCATGATTATGTTTCAAGTCAGACAAATCAAATCAATGCACTTTATATAACTGATTTGTATATTTATATGAATATTACTAAGCACTAGAAAGTCTCGTTTAACTCAGAATGATTTCCATCTCTTATTTGTGTTTCAACATTTTTTGATCTATTTTACTTAATATTATTTATACAATATTAAAGCACAATATTATACAATATAGAGCATAATGAGATACTATTACAGATGGTCAGTCTTATGGAAGTTAAATACGTGACTGTTATAAAGTTTAAGTAATTAAGAGAAATAAACTGATAAGATATAATATTAATTTTGTGTGTGCGTGTGTGTGTATATACAAAATCGATTTTCATTTAAAACTGATTTTAATATCGTCAGAGTTTGATTATCAATGGATACAATAAAAAATTTAATTTGGTGACAATATCCAAGACACTAGTATTACAAGTATGCATACTTATTTATACAGCATTTATATAATAAAAAATTTAATGCATTATCTAAATATTGTTAATAGTCATATATTTATATAAACTGTCGGCAAATGTCATTCTTCTTCAATTATCTCGGGATTTCTTAGGCTCTCTTGTTAGTCATGAAAAATTTATCCAGGATCAGCCATCCTTGATAGTATCTCGTTGATGCACATAGTATTATACATATATGTATGCAAACACATAACATAAAATAATGGATTTCTTTATAGAATATATTTATGAAGTCTCTGAAGATGATTATGGATGCAGGCTTAGTAAAAAGAGAACAGATAAAGAAAATACTCGACTTTTTTTCGGAAAAAATATAAAATGGATTACAGGTAAAAGCAGATACAAAGAAAGAAAATATGCTTTTATTTAATCATATGCTTAAATGAAAACTCTAACATAATCTTCGTATCACGTGGACATTTACGTTGCTGTAAAAGTTACGTACAGAAGTTAAAATGTGTCCTGTTTGCAGCAACAGCTATTATCAGTATATATCAACGATAATATTATAAATCGGGTATGATTTATATTCTTACTAAACTTGCATAATATTACTGTAAATTTATATATATAGTTTTATTTATATAAATATTTAAATATATTTTTATTTTTAATATAATTTTTTTATTGCAGATAAAGGGTTTTCATATATGAATATTCTTATCTACACCTGGTTGTTTTGATAATGAATTTATTGGAACTCTCTCCAACTAGAGATGACATGATTAAACATAGTGTCAGATATAAAAGTGCAATATAAAGTTGTTTAAACTGCCAAATTTTTACACACTGTCAAATATCTTTTAAATGATTAACAGCTATGTATTTAACACACAAGTTTCCAAAGCTCCACAGAATTGATACTTAATACCTGTAGTTAATTGGATTATATTATCGATAAAATAATTGATAACGTTTTTATGGAAATTTGCATGACTGTTGAAATTTAAGTAATTAAAATTAAAAAATTTATAATACAGTATTATGATTTATTTTAGTTTTGCGTAAATATGTTTCAAATTTAATATAGTACTTGGTTTTTATTTAAAACTGATTTTGGTGTCAGAATTCGATTATCAAAAAAGATTATGAGTGCCTTTCACCTATGACACAAATTATGACATATTAGTGTCAGGGTGCTCCTTGGAACACATGTGTTTTGATAAAGCCCTAACAGATGATTCTATAGATGGTCAACTAATGTAACTTTGGTTACTAAAAAGCTATAGTTTACGTTACGTTTACGTTGCGTTTTGGAACGCAGCCCTGACCGTATTGCAGAATTCACTGCATCCGAATTTCGTTGTACGACGACTCTGCAGCCAATTAGTTGCGAGATTCTCTAAACGTTTTATCGATGATTGTCGCTATCGTTAACTAGCGACAGTCAATGGCAGGACAATCCTGAAAGAAAGCGCGGCTCTCATTGGCTGTCACTAGTTAACGATAACAACAATTATCGAAAAAAACGTTTAGAGAATCCCGCTGCAGGAAACAAAATTTTGCTCCGTATCGATGATACGATTTTTCTGATTGGTTGCAGAGTCGTCGTACGACGAAAATCGGATGCAGTGTGAATCCAGCATATATGTCTCCTCATTATTCATGGACAAATAAGAAGAAGAACTGTACAGACTGAAATAAACAATTTTGATAATGTCAGTATAATATCAAAAATAAATAATTAATGGTTTCTTAAAATTATATATACGCAATAATATTTTTTGAGGGGCTAATCAGGAGTCAGCGCGGTAAAAAGTGCGCAAAAATTAAATTTTAAAATATAATTTAATATAGTCTGGAAATAACATATTTGATGAATTAAATTATATTTTAAAATAATATGACCATCGACATATAGAATGGACCGCTGATGGTAGTGGTGGGGGTAGAAAGACGGATAAAGTGAGAAGCAGAAATAACATGATCGTTCTTTCTCTGTTTACTGATAACTACTGATTACTATTGGTCGCTATTAATCCAACAACCAATCAGGCTTCAGTAAACAAAGAAAGAACGATCATGTAACATGTTACTCTGCCTCTCACTTTATCCGTCTTTCTACCCCCACCATTGCCATCAGCGGTCCATTCTATATGTCGATGAATATGACGCTTGCTGTTCGTCAATTTTTATCACGTGATCTGTTTTGACGCTGAAAATGAGCGTCAGCATGAAAATGCACTTTTAAAAAGTAAACCGAAAAAGAACAGACTTGAGCGCCGCAGCTAACGCTTGCAACGCCACACTGCAAGCTATGGTTTGGAATACGCATCACTGCGTCACTGGCTACAATTACTGTAATCAGCTTTTGAATGTTTCCTTATTCGTTTTGTCGTATTAAGTTCCGTGTGTTTATCGCGTTGTCAATTGTTCGTGAACGAGGTTCGAAATCGCACAACGAACAAGAAGACCGATTGGACGAGTTATTGTGTGTTGTGCTGTAAACACGTGCGAGATCTTGGCACAAGGAAATCTTGGAGAACTACGTGAAAGATAAAAAGATACAAAGGGAAAGAGAGCGAAAGCAGAGACCCACAAAAATGTCAGAGATTGACGCTAAAGTGAACATGTCGCTTGGTAAGTCGCCAGAGTTCCGACAGTTTAACAGTTTTGCCAGTAATCCCGGATGAGCCCACGTTGCTTCTCGCAATGGATCGACAAAATGGCGTCGGCGCATGTTACGTACATACGTGTGTTACAGCATGCTTGTGTACGGTGCGTAGAGTACCTGCATTTGTTTTTCACTTGTACATATGGAAGATGTTTTCCTCTTGCTCCTAGTGTTTTCTGGAGGATGCTCCATAAAGCGGGGGCACGATGACGAGATATCCTCCGTGGGGTGCCGATCGATCGGCCGATCAACGCGATGGCGTGTTTATTAAAGCAAGCTCGCGAGGAAGGAAACGGAAACAGAAGACTTCTCTTTTTCAGAAAGGAAGGCTAAAGAAAGGGGAATCTATTTTGTTCTCGTAGTATATGTTGCTTGGTGGACTATTCGATAATCGCGATCGCTCTTTTAATCAGCAGGAGGAAGAAAGGGAAATCGGAATGAAATATGTGGAAGCAGATGCGAGAACTTATCCATCTTAAACGATTCTACAATCACGATTGTTCGTAATTTATTTTGTCATTGGGAAAAAGAGAAGGTCTAACAGATTGGAAAATTTGATAAGAATAATGTGGAGCAATAGGATGACAAGTTTATATACAAAGAATTGTTTCATGATTGCCTAAAATTCAAATTTAATTGTGATTATTTGCTTCAAGAAGGAAATCAATGTCCAGAATTCATAGATAGATCACACAGAACATGTGATTAAAACAAAGGTTTGATGTGCTAGTATATGATACACCGTTCTATTCGCCTTAATTAATAGTATTTTGTAATTGTGATTGCTTGCCTTGGGAAGAAATCTATATCTAAAATAAGTGCATTCCGGAAATTCCAGCAAATATCGAGAAATGATCTGAGAATTTACTAGAATATTTTTTTAGAGCATTATTAACTATTTTGCTATTGTAATTGTTTGCTTCGGAAAAAACTGGTAACACCAATGTTCCAGGAATCACGATTGAAATATCAAGAAACTTGATCTAAGACTTTGTACCAGAATGTTATATACAACATTGTTTTATATTTGCTTCATATAATTCTATAATCGCAATTGCTTGCTTCGAGAAGAAACCAGTGTCTAGAAAATGTATGTGCATCAACATCCAGAAAATGCAATTGAAACACCGGAAAACTATTCAAGACATCATGCCAGAATGTTATATAAAAAACACCATTTGCCTCAAATAATGACATTCTCAAATGTTAAGTTCAAGTGTTCGGGAAATATAATCACATTGATGCACAGGAAACGTGACTATAATAACGAGAAGCTGTTCCAGAACCTTGTACCAAGAATTGCATCATCTCCTATAAATGATTATATCTCTTAATTGCAATTATTCATAATCTTGTGCTTTGTGTCTCAAGAAAAAAGGAACAATGTATCAAGAAATGAATTAAAATATCAAGAAGCATAATCGAGAATATATACCAAGAATTTCTTACGTTTAGGATCACTCTGAAATTTTATACCAGCTGCTTAGAAATTTACACCCTTAATACTTCTTGATTATACAAATAAATATAAAATTATCATAATTGTATTATGCACGTACGACTGATTTCCATTTGAAAATTGTTTATGATGCATGTTGGAATGCTGTTTTCCAAACATCTTAAAACTTTTTAACCATTTTGAATATTGCAATTTTCTCCACTTGCAACGTTGGATCTTCATGATAATGAAATAGTCCACGGGGATTTAATTACAGAAGAGAAATCTGAGTGAGATTTGCTGCAACAAGATGGTGAATCACGTTACTGTGGATATATATGTGACGCGATGCATATTATGCATTCACAATTCATCGCTAATTGTATCATATATTATGCACCGTTAATCTTTCCAACGATAAATTTCCGTTAGAAATCATCCTGAAATAAATTTAATGCATAACGTCTCAAATATAATTTTAAGTTTAAAAAAAAAGGCGAAGGGCTGAAAATCATTTCGAGAGGCTGTGCCAAGCGTTATAATCATGACTCATTCTTCACGAAAAATCACGCTCTCTTTTCACGCTTAGAACAAGCGCAAAACTTACGTAATTTTATATTTTTATCCACTGCATCGCGAGCAACTACTATCCGCCCAGCGGATGCCAAGTATGGAAAATGAGACACTTTCTCGTGTTACACATACCGGTACAACGTTATTTCTACCGCTTGTGTAACCAGAACACCCGGCGAAACGATAAATTAATTTCGCCTTTGTTTTTCTCCTATTGTTACAGCCAGAATGAAAACGGATTTGGAGAATCAAACGCAAATTAACCTTCTTTAACTACTTGATTGATTTGACGCTATTTCAAATTAATTTATAATCTATTGACAATACATTAGTATAATATTTACTGGCAATCTGAAAATGCAGGTACTCTAATAGACAGGCTGATTTTAATAATGTTGCGATGAAATTTCATCGTTTTCAATATTGTGCAAGCAATTCCAGGAAGCGATATATTTATGCATTACTTATTTATATATCGATCAACATAGCAATCTGTATGAGCTCCTTGAAAATCTTCTGAAATATGTTAAAAATGAAAGACCTCGTCATAAGAGAAGAATCATTGACTGGTTTAACTTATGGAATAATAAAAGTAATGAAAAGAAGAGGACAAAGTAGAATTCCTAGGAAGTAACATCGCATTAATGGAGAAACATGAACTATCAACATTCTTTCTTTAATCGGACATCATTTTAAAGTAATCCGTAAAGCAGTGAACTACAAATAGGGATAGCAATTAATGATTAATGAAAAGCAAAATAAAGAATGAAATACAAAAAAAAATTATATTGCATATATTAAACTATATTCTATAAACTATATTTTAACTAAATTATAAAGATTATATATATTTTAATTATATTCTGATTATAAATGCTACTAGATTTTGTTTTAAATCAATATTATATTTTGTTTCTTATTAATGTTTAATTGTTGAATAATTTATTTATCGATTTTTAGACAAATTTACACATTTATAATTTTTTTCTGTGATATCTGTAAATTAGAATTTTTTATATTTATTAATTCTCATATTATAATTTTATATAAAACAGAAGAATAATTTCAGAAATAATTATCTATTAACGCTCAGAATTTTTCTATATTTAATACTATTATAACAATCTGAAATATATATGCTGCAAATATATGAGGATGTATTGCACGGATTGCATTCTACGTATTTACAAGAGTATCTTTATAGGCAAAGATCTTTAGGATTACAAATACTTGTGATGATATTCCTTCTCAGCGACTTCTTCGGTGGAATACATATCGAGACGATATATATTCTAAGTGATAAATTTTTCCTTGAGAAATCGCATTCACGTTGGAATCGCTGTCTGTGCCAAGATTTAGCATTAAGTGTTTCGACTTAAGAATTTCGCAGAGATTAGATTCCACCGTCGTACGCTCATTAATAAATGACGCGCATTTTCTTCCTTTTAAGATGAGATCATAAAGATGGAGAAAAAGAAAAAAAACGCAGCAACCAACGGAAAACCCGGTGGTGTTAAGCGCAATCGCAGTGCCGGACGAGGCCGGGGTGGATTTAGAGGAAGAGGTGCGAGAATCAAGCGCAATGTTGGGACCATCCTGAAGAAGCAGCAGCAACAAACTTGGCAACGTAATACGAATATCGCAAGCAACGCTCGCGGCGGTTTTGCTCGGAATCGCTTTAAGAGAAATGGCAATCTCGCGAGATCACGTAGCAACTTGAGCTTGAATTCTAAGCTAAACAATGCGAGAGGAGGCACGTTCAATCTGCGTCGTGGCAGAGGCAACAGATTTGGCTTGACTCGCAGCCGGAGTCGTACAAATTTGACGTTCAATCAAGGCGGCTTCTTCACGAACAATAAGAGCCCGCTGAAACGTACGAACAGCTTGCCTAATCTGCGAGATCCAAATTCTGTTTACAATCGCCTGGGTTATCAAAGCCCCGCTCAGATTGCCTATCGAAATCGTGTAAAACGAGCTAAGCAGCTGTTGTTGCAGAGGCAGAATCAGAGATTGAACTTGCAGAATCAGAGATTGAACTTGCATAATCAATTCAGAGTGAGTTGAATAATCTGACATACATATAACAAATATTCTACATGTGAAAATTACTTATTAGATTAACGATACGTGTATTAATTGTTACAGATGGCACAAACCGGCCAGAAGACCGTTTTACTTTCGATGCAGCCGAGAACTTTGGGAAGGCAACAGATACTAACGTCGCAACGTCGCTTCACGACCGGTGGACTACGATCCGATCAGATTGCTCATGCACAGAGACGGGCGCAATACGAACAGAAACTTCTACGAATGAAGTAGATGATACTTTGTTATATTTATTGTTCAAATTAATTCATTGACTAATTCCTTTCATATTAGTATATAATTAAGAAGTATAAATCTTTTATTTAGCTATATATTATATATACACACAGATTTATTGATAGCTTTGAACACGAGAACTAATTTTGTTCTCTATTGCCCGATTTTTCATTATCTGATTAATTTATGGTTAGTCTTAACTTGATGTTTTATTTAATGAGTTTCATCTATAATGATGTCATGGATGACGGCCATAGAGCAAACATCAAGTTAAGCTTAATCATAAATTAACTAGATAATAAAAAATTGGACCTAAGAGAAACAGGATGTTTAAAGTCTAATATGTTGTAGTGCTGCCCGATTGACCTCTACTCCAAACGTCAATTTCATGTGCACATTGGGAAGCGAGTACATACCTACTACTACACGCCAGCGACCACTCACCCTCGCACAGAACCGACCTATGACTATCACTAACCCGCGACAAATGCCCAGAGGACGATCGCCGTTCAGACAAAGTGCACAGGCTTTAAATATGGTATACATTTTTCAAATATATATTTCTCTAAAATATATATTATATATCTGTTTCTCCTATTTATTTTTTCTCCTATTTTAATTCATCAAGTTTCATGTGACTCTTACCTACACGATTTTCTGTTTTAAATTCTTGTAACTTCTGACCAAAATTTTTTCAGGTCGTGATTGGTATTTAGAGAGGTAGAAAAAGTTTTTTTTTTTTAAATCTAATGGAGTGGAATGTGTGTGCGTGCGTGTCTGAGAAAAGATATATAAGTGAAAGTAAAAATAAAGAAAGTAAATGATTATTGTCATTTTACTAACAAATATTTAACTAATAAATGATTGCGTCTACTTTTTTTTAATGAAATGACTCAATAAAGATGATTATTATTTGAGTGATTTTTATAATAAAAATTCAAGGGGATGAAAGATATAAGAGTGAAAAAAATTTGTTCTGCCAATTCAATTTTTAAAGATTTCAAAAGTACTTTTAATCATTTTCTATTTCCATGATGGTGAAAAAAATAAAAAAAAAAAGTAAAATTGTAATTCAAATAATATCATTTATTAGTTGAATATTTGCTAACAGAAAAACTGGAGTCACATTCACTTTCAACCTTCATATTTTTTCCAAACATGTCACCTCTCATCGCAAATTATATTTTTTGAAAGAGCAATTCGTTTTACCCCTAAATTGCTATTAAAAGATTGTAATTAATGTTCTAGTCGAAAAAGTTGCAGCAAAAAAGCATAGGGATCACTTAGGATTTAATAAATTAAAGTATTTAATCATTTCTTTAAATAATCACTGATGTTTTTATTGAAATTCCAGATTGATCGGGTACCACTATTCGGTCGACAGCGCTCGAGATCGAGATCACGATCACGCTCGCGTACGCACAATACAACCGCGTCCGATTCCAGTGGAGACATCGACGATCGTACATTCAGCGAAGTTATGTACAGTCTGTCAGGAAATCTCGGCGTTACAGGACGAACTCTTAACGATCGATTTGGTTTATAAGTAGTGGCGTCGCAAATTCGACTTTATATCGAATTCATTACCAACAATTCGTTGATGATAATTTACCCGTAACACTAGAAATATAAAGCATCTTTTGTTTTAATATTTAGACAAAATGCTATATGTTTTCCCCTCTTTCTTTATTAAGTACGCGTGTGTTATTAATATCGAATTATACTGCATTAATTAATTGTCTTCACAAATATCTTTTGCTTCAGTCGTGAAATTGTAATTGATTTTATCTGAAATAATATCTGAAATAACTTCTTCACATTTCCATTGTTAATGTATACAAAAAATTTTTAAGAAATATCACCATAGTATCATACTTTCATTTGAATTACGTGGTAGAATACGATTCTTAACTATTTTATATATCACACGATTTTTTTCTACGTGCAATAACTTGTAATATCTCAAGTACTTTTTTATTATACAAAATGTAGAGAAAAAGACGTTATTTAAATACGCATATAATAATTTTGATTACAATTTATTGAAATTTTGACACTTAGTGTGAAAAAATTAGCTTAAGTGGTTACGTTAAATTAGTTTAACTACTAAATATTTATGTATAAGATAAAACGCGTACTTTTCAAGTGTATTTTTTTGCTTTGAGAAATATACAAATCTTTGTGATTAGTATCCATCTTTTTAAATTAATATTGCATTTTAGATGATCTTTAAAATGTAAATGCAAAACATTTGAATATTTATGTAATTTATATATATTTACATACATAGATCACATTTTTATGTTTAGTGAAAATTTTAGTTTAGGCGGTTTAGGCTTTAATTTGCAAATTATACAATATGATTAAAATACATGTTCGAATGAAAAGGTTGAAGTATATGTAACTTATCTTTGTGTGTGGATTCAGTTATATAAGAGATTGTTTAATACATAATTATATATTGCATTAAAGTAGATTTTATTAAATTATTATTGAAGGACGGTTTACTTTGTAACGTAAAACGTATGTACATACATACATACTCAACGTATTACATATAATTGGAAGCTGTTTCAAGAAACAAAGCTCAAGTTTTTTTCAAACGTATATCATCCAATTTTTTTTTAGATGATTTTTATGTTACATTTATATCACGCATTTCTGACTCATGCACGTTAATTTTACATCGCTAACTTTATTCATTTTGATGGAATATGTACATATTTATGATCATATATCGTAGGTTTGTAATCGTAATTTTAAAATTCTGAAGAAGAGTTTTCTCAAGAGAGAAATGATAACGCGCACGCAACACTGAATAAGACGCAGTTATAGAAATTTATTTGAAAAACGTGGATGATATTTTTAACGCGGGTATATATCATAGTGAAGAGTGAAGTATCGTCCGAGAATAAATTGCGATGGTACTTATCGCTATTTATAATAAAAAAATAAATGAGCATAATATGCACTCATCGCCTACTCGGTTCAGTGTCAGTCATACGGATGCACATGAAGTGTCCTCGTGAGTGTCTCTTAAGTGAATTAAAGTTCATGTAAGATAATTGTTCGTCGAAATTCTGAACAAAACGTCCAATTTGTCGATAACTTTACAGAAAGGATATCTTTACAGATAACTTACTGGGTACTACTATTAACGATGTATCTATATAGTTATAAGTAGTAATCCAAATTGCGCTATTGCTATCATCATGTCGTTTATGTCATCTTCAGTAGGGATGTGCGCGCGAAGAATAAATAAACAGGTAAAAGTAATTTTACATCTTAAAAAGACAAGATACTTTACCGTTAAATGTAGGATTAAATTATTTATATACATATACAAAATTTTAATCTTTAAAAAATATATATGTAATATAAACAATTTAAACACAATATATAAAATAACAAGATTTCAAAGAAATAAGTCATAAAATTGATAAAAATATGAGCCAATGTAAAATAATTTAATCTGCATACGGATACCCTTACATAAGATACTTTGTTTTGTAGCTGTTAGCGCACAACACTTCGGTTATTAAAGAAATAGTTCGAAATTTGGAGGTGCATGAGCATATGGCATACACTTTATTAAAAGAAGCTGGCATTCCTACTCCACCTTTTTGGGTGGCAAAGACGTCCAACGAAGCTGCCAGCCTGGCCAAGGAACTGAAGACAAAGGATCTCGTGCTAAAAGCGCAAGTTCTGGCTGGAGGTAGAGCGAAGGGACAATTTAAAGGTAGCAATGTTAGCGGCGTCGTAATGTGCGATTCGTGAGTACGTGACAGAACTGTAAATCACAGTAGAAAGAAATGAGAAGATGTGATCTCTTTTATTACAGAGCCGAGCAAGTAAAGGAATTAGCAGATAGTATGATTGGCAAGGTGCTTGTGACTAAACAGACAGGTGCGGCTGGAAAGATATGCAATTCGGTGATGATAACAACGCGTATGTTTCCGCGTAAAGAGTATTACATGGCAGTGATGTTGGAACGTACCTTCGATGTAAGTATGAGCATATATTTTATTTTATAAGTTAATTAAGTATTTTACTCGTCCCGTATATTAGTGACTATGTTAAACGTATCATATTTTTTTTACAATTTATTGACCTCCAAGAATTAGCTTTATATTATAATACGATATCCATTTATCATTGTTGTAATCGTATCTAAAGAAATATCTAAAGAAAATATTCTATAAAAATTGTCTATATTTCATCTGTCGGTTACATATATAATATTTTTACATATAATGTAAAAAATATATATGGATTTTTGTAGAGGCGACAGCAAATGCACGTGTTTTCTGTTTTTATTATAGAAATTATGTTTAATTCATTTATCATAATAAACTTGAAACATTACATAACATAGTTAGAGTCAACGCTTTAATAGCCGCCTAATAGTGGTTCGATAAAAGATTTAAAAAACGTATACATCTTTTATTTTATATATAAAAATATTTGATGAATATAACAAAATTATTTTTATTATTTAATTAAAAATGACTAAACAAGAGAAAGCTACTTTAGATATGTAAAAATAAAAGTAGTTATCATTGTTGACTACTTAAAATCAACCTATCAAAGAATCTATGTGTCTAATAATATGTCCAAGGATTATAAGTTGCTGTCACTCTTCCATCCAAAAACAATTCGATCTAAATACGCAATCGTTTATGTTTCATAAGGGGCCCGTAATAATTGTTTCCAAGCAAGGCGGAGTAAACATCGAAGACGTCGCTGCTACGAACCCCGAAGCTGTAGCATATGTACCGATCGATGTAAGGAAAGGTTTAACACCCGAGCAGGCGAACAGCGTCGCCGATAAACTGGGACTCACGGGGAACAGCAAAGAGATCGCATCGCTCGTCGCCTCCAATCTCTACGAGTTGTTCGTCGAGAAGGACGCGCTGCTACTCGAAATCAATCCGTTTGCAGAAGACATCTGTGGCGAATGTACGCTGCAATGAATAAGATAAGATATGAGAAACAAGAGCGGATAGTAGTCTTTCGATAATAAGACTAAATAATATGTGTTAATTGTATTATACTCTGCGTCTTATTATTACTGCACGGAAAAAAAAAATAGATTGGATGGTACAGCAAAGCTATAGCTTGCTGCACAAATTCATCTATAACTAAGAAGATGTGTGGTTTAACAAATTGATAATGTTATTCAACTGTTAACATAAAAAACTGACTCCGCATATTACGCCTGTAGATTTGCTGGATCAGTGAAGTTTTTAGCTGTTTTTTTTTTCTTTGCACAGATTATGCTTTGGATTGCAAATGCAAATTTGACGACAGTGCCGATTTCCGACAGAAGGAGCTGTTTGCGCTAAAGGACACGACCCAAATGGATCCGAAAGAGGTCGAGGCAGAGAAGTACAACTTGAATTACATAGCTCTTGACGGAAATATTGGCTGTATGGTGAACGGAGCCGGACTGGCGATGGCTACCATGGATATTATAAAACTGTACGGCGGTCTGCCGGCAAATTTTTTGGACGTCGGCGGCACCGCTACAGTCGAGACAGTGACGGAAGGCTTCAAAATATTATCTTCGGACCCAAATGTAGTTATAAAAATCGAGAATTAAAAAATGATACAAGAAAATGGTATATCAATGATCTTGCAGGTGGAAGCTATTTTGGTGAATATTTTTGGCGGCATAATGAGATGTGATATAATCGCTCAAGGTATTATAGACGCTACGAAACAGTTGAATCTGAATGTGCCTATAATCACGCGATTACAGGTAATTATCTTTAAGTTACAAATTATACAAGCCTGTAACTTTATTTTTTTTAAACCGCTATATTTCCTTGTAGGGTACCAATGTCGATAAAGCTAAACAATTGATATTGGACGCTAAGCTGAAAGTAATTTCCGTGGACGATTTCGCTCAAGCAGCCGAGACATCTGTTAAGTTAGCATCGATGATGAATATTGCAAAGTCTTCGGATTTAGATATCACTTTTAGTACTAAATCGCCAAAAAAGGATTCTAAAAAAGTAAAAAACTAATGCCTTTGGATGAGTTTGTTAAATATTTTGTATTTACATATCGATGAAATATATCTTTTTATACATATGCAAAAGTGCATACATTATTTTTCTATTACACATAAATAAAAATATTGATGATTTATAGTTTTTAGGAAAATATTAAGATAATTTAATCAAGAAAAGAAAATTAATAGTACCTTTAAGGTAACGATAATTACGGTCAGTATAAATGTTTTTTAAAGCCCGTTCTAAAGTTAGTCGCAATTCGTAAAAAATTGCCTAATCGATTATTCTTCTCACATTCGACTCGATTGATCAATTTTTTTTAGCCTACGAGCCTATTATATAGAACAGACTGCGTTCAGCAGAAAAAGTAATTTAAGTGATCTTACGAATTAACTAATTACAGTCAATTCTTCCTTTCTTATAGTCGAATGAGACTGTGATTGATCAATTCTTACAGATTACAGTATACGACATAACGTTATAGCCAGAATAAATAAATACTACGTTCTACAATAGGGTCGCAAGATGTAAATCAAAAATTGGCCAATCACAATTGAATATGAAAAGAATATTCAATCATGATTGGTTAATGGCTGCGACACAGATTCATTCTATCTCCATTTTTATATGCTTTCCACCTTTCCAGCAAACAACACAATGTTCATTTCGTGTTTGTTGAATATTGGCAAACAAGGATGTAATGATTTACTGTATTACATTTGTGTAGCTTGTGTCGTTTGCTGGAAAGCATATAAAAAGAGATAAAATGATGGAGATAAAATATCTGTGTCGATTTGTGGTATTAAATGAAAAACTCCCGGTGTGTGAATCTTGTGTAGGGTGAGGTCCATGAGGTCTGCGTCATGTGTTGCGCGTAGAAAATGTCAAACCTGGGTGGGGGCCACGAGGGGCGAAGTCGGCGGAGCACACGTCTTCGTATCTGGCAGCCCACCACACTCGCAGTGCCACAGTCCACGGCTGTCGCTCAGACGGGGCAAAGATGGCTACCATGTTGTCGCGGGCGATCTCACTCGCGGAAAGTCTCAGTCGATTGAGCGGTCCCAAGGTATGTCAAGCTGACGGGTTTTTCTGCATTCGCGTTAATCGCGTGACTTTGACACGTTCATACGAACGCACCGAGTGTCCCGAGATTGATAAGGCTCGATCGAGAGAAGAGAAAAAGAGGGACAATCGAGTGCGAGCAAGAAGGAACGAAGGTCGCCGATCGCCATATTGGACAGCTGTAGTCTGCTAAATTGAGCGCCAGGGTCGTAAGCGATTTGAAGCGGAGGATCTCATCTGTAGAATTTTTCCCCCGATAGATTGCCGTGACAGTTATGCAACCGACCGGAGAATTGCCTCTCACGTCGTTCCCTCGATGTTCTCGACGTCCGTCTTCACGTTTTAATCGAATTATCGCTCGTTCGCACGAGGGGATAAGTCCTACTTGTCAAATAGTCACTATACAAAGGTCTCGATGTGACGATCGTCTTCAATAGCTTTTTGTTTTTCGTCGAACGGATCGAATAGAATGACACGGATTCTATTTGAATCAAAACGAAAGGACAATCGATACTTTTATGCCCTCCTTCCCTGCGCCATCGATTAATCATCGCTTCTCTCTTTTTCTCGCTGGAATACATTTATTTTCAGCGATGAGATACGAGCTTGGAGCGCGAGACGCCACAATTTGCGGCGAAGATACATGTGTTTTAGTTGTCAAAGTCATCGACGAGCAAATTAGCTAGGGACAGAAATTTTCAGTTAAAAAATCGATTGTATGATTTTTTTATGTCATGAGATTTTCCCAGCTTCGTTCTTGTTATGACAGTTTTCCTGATAAAAATTTCGATATAGGTATATTTCCGAAATTATAAATTAAAATTTCATACGAAATAGGATTTGCTTGACTTTGAACACTAAGTTTCTATTTATCAATCTCTATGTCGTTTAACATGTTCTTAAATAATAACGAACTCGGACATAATGCTATTATTGTGTAATGTTTTTATAAATTGCTTATCAAGATGCTAAGTATCAATTGAGTCACATCAGTTGTCATAATAATGTTTATTTAAATCTTGTTTATGCTAATTTACAAATTTTGAAATAATACACGACTAATATTTTATAAATTTATAATGATAAACTACAATTATCCTCAATAATAAACAGAAGAAAACTTACATAATTAAAATTAAATAATACAGACTCCTGTCCAATTTCTTCACTTCTAGATAAATTATTACAGATAACTCTAGGAGATATTTCCATTATATTCTGAGAAATATTTTCTGGATAAAGTTATCTAGAAGTGAAGAAATTGAGCATTAGGTAAATAGTGGTCTTAACTATGATATAAATAACATATGACTATGATATGATGTGTTAAAAAAGTTTTATTATTATCAAAATTAAGTACGTTGTTAAAACTTTCAAAAGAATAATACCTTTAAAAAGAATTTTTTGTTAATTAAACAATTAAAAAGATATATGATTAATATTGTGATTTACATATATAAGCGATAGACCATTAAAGAATCTGCCAAAGATATTTTTTAATTATGTTATTCAAACATAAAGTCTTTCAGGTCGTTGAATCTAATTTTTAAATTGAGAAATTAATTTAAATTGGAAATTGAATGTGAAAAATTCTTATATAAATAAATTATTCCAAAAATTTGAACATTGTTTAATTTTAATATCTATCATTTATTGATGACTGATTGATCATATTAAATCATTTTAAATTTATCAACTTTGATATGATATTGATACACCAATAGAGCCTGTATTGATGGTATTTCGATATCACTGCTTGTTCTATAGTTCACATTATACTATAGGTTTCAAGTATTGGCAGAGTATAGCATTGTATTATGTATGTTATATTGATGTAATAAATTTTCTCCAACACGTCATATCATAATTATGCTAACTGTAAAACAGTCCTTTTTGCAACTAATTTTGCAAATTGCTTAAAATGATGACACTATTATTATTATAGAACAATTTAATAAACGGTATCATGTTTAGTGATCAAACCGGGAAACGATTGTTTTTGTATAAAAGAAAAAGTTAATTTTTTGTTGAATAATATAATCAATAACACTAACAAAAAAAGTTTTAAATGCAATTGATAAATGCAATAAAAAATAACAAGCAACAAACAAAAAAATAAATAAATATTAATTAATATTTTAAGAACATTAGCTGTATATTTACAAAACTTAATTTAAACTTATTCATGTTTAAAGATTGCTGAAGAATTTGTATATTTAAAAAAACGATAAAGAAATGTTACTTTCGGCTATATTATACAATTCATTGTATTGCATATAAAGTATATCGGTGCCAAAACGTATGTAAAAGATGTATGTAGGTGATAAACGTATCTATGCATAGCTTATATGTCACTCAGTCTTCAAGTGTAGATTTATATTTAACTATTACATGATTTATGAGTGACAGACCAATTTGCATATACTTTAACCTACACATTTTATTTTATCTTCTTGATATCAATACGCCGCGTTATTTTTATCTACATTTCTTTCTTTATCCCGATCAATGTGCAATGTGTACAATGTAAACTTTGGCGTTATCAATGACGCTAGATCTGGGAGAATCTGCTGCATATAATCCAAACAAATAGAAGAGTTTATCACTGAACTTGTTTTTTGTTTCTTCCTTTTTTCAGATATTAGCATGCAATACTAGCTTGGTTAAACAACCAGCTAGAAATTTGAACGTTCATGAACATATTAGCTACAGTTTACTCAATGAGGCTGGGGTGCCGACACCTAAATTCGGCGTTGCTAAAACTCCTGACGAAGCAGCTAAACTTGCTGCCGATTTGAAAACGAAGGATATCGTCTTGAAGGCCCAAGTCCTCGCTGGTGGCAGAGGAAAAGGACACTTCAAGGGAACAAGTGTCAGCGGAGTGAAGATGTGTGAAACGTAATTACTACCTTTTCAATTATATCACATGCAATATATACTTTAGATATGTCGAAAAATATTATAACTTATTATTGTTGCTTATAGTCCAGAAGAAGCCAAGTCGTTGGCGGGTCAAATGCTCGGCAAACTACTAATCACAAAACAGACTGGCGAAGGTGGCAGAATATGCAACGCCGTAATGGTCACACAGCGCATGTTTCCCCGTAAAGAGTACTACCTTGCTGTCATGATGGAAAGAGCCTTTGGTGTAAGATTTTAAAATAAAATAATAAAAAGTGCATTTGAAAAGTTACTGCATTAAATAAAAGATTTGGAATGAATACTTTTCATCCCTAGGGTCCTGTCATAATAGCTTCCAGTCAAGGTGGGGTGAACATCGAGGAAGTCGCAGCAACAAATCCTAGCGCTATTATGTACGAACCTATTAATATCAATACGGGAATTACAAAGGAACAGGCGGAACGTATAGTAGTTAAGCTTGGCCTCGATAACGTAAAGGATTATATTTCCAATATAATTATAAATCTGTATCAAATGTTCCTCAAGAAAGATGCTCTACTTTTGGAAGTAAATCCTCTTGCTGAGGACATTAACGGGAATTGTAAATTTCTATCTCTCTTTATAATATTTTATAAATGGTTTTTTTCACAAATCTTCCTACATAATTTTTTGTACAGATTTTGCTTTGGACTGCAAATGCCGGTTTGACGACAACGCCGAGTTCAGGCAAAAGGAACTCTTTAATTTGAGAGACTGGACTCAAGAGGATCCTAAGGAAGTCGAAGCTGCGAAATTTGACTTAAATTACATTGCGCTCGACGGTAACATAGGTTGTATGGTAAACGGAGCTGGTTTAGCTATGGCTACGATGGACATTATAAAATTACATGGTGGTGAACCGGCTAATTTCCTCGATGTTGGCGGTGGTGCGTCGACTTCGGCGGTGAAGGAAGCATTTAAGATCATCACTTCTGATCCACGAGTGAGTGCACGAAATTATGATTGAGTTTATACATTTTAACTGAATTTATATGTATTCTTTTCTTTCTGTCAGGTTCATGCTCTTTTAGTTAATATTTTCGGTGGTATCATGAGATGCGACGTTATAGCAGAGGGTATTATCGCCGCGACTAAGGAACTAAGTTTAAAAATTCCTGTCGTTGTAAGATTGCAGGTACGGAGCATGCGCTTTATTTTGCAAAAAATAATTATGATTACAATTGTGCTTATGGAATTTATACAAAGATACATGTATGTTTTTTTCTTTCTAGGGTACTAATGTGGACGAAGCCAAAGCTCTGATCGCGAATGCGGGTTTAAAAATTGTACCAATCGACGATCTCGACGAGGCTGCCCGGGTCGCGGTAAAATTATCGACCATTGTTAAATTAGCTCAGTCTGAAAATCTCAGTGTGAATTTCGAAATACCTGCAATTTCATAGGTAGTAAAAAAATTATAAATATATTATTAAGATTATTTTTGCCGAGAATATGTATTCAATTGTTAAAAGATTTCAAGAACATCTGAAAGTAATAACTACAGTAATAACTTTATATGCGTAATGTATTCTCGTCAAAGAGTAATATTTTACACAGTTCGACTCTTTAACGTAACTTTATAGAAAGAGAAAGAAAATAAAAAGTAGAACAGTTTTGGACAACTCTATGATGTACAAAAGTGATACGACTGAAAGATATAGTTAAATATGAAAAACGAACTAATAACATAGTGTTTTATATATATATATATATATATATGTGTGTGTGTATATATATATATATATGTATATATATGGTAAGTTTTCTCTATAATACAGTCGCGAACATTTGTAATGCACAGAATTGTACAAGATTATTCATGGAAACGCGCAATTTATCAGCACTTGCTCTAAAACTCAAAGAGTTCTATGAGATCCAGTATTAAGGAGATTAAGTTATATATGTGTAATATATTACCTTACAAGCAACCACGTCGCCCATGGAAATGTACTTTAGAGTGTTCAAAATTATCGATAAAATATTATTAGATATTAAAATAGGCCATCAGCTTTTTGAAATATAAATATTATATAAATATTAGCTTATAATGCAGTGTTGAATTCGTTATTTATTATTATACCAATGCATCATAAATAAATTCATAACTCAATGTGACAAAACTATTATCTTTTTTCGATCCACATAAATAATGGTGTAGTTATAAATAAAAATTAAATATTACGTTCTCATCGCTTTTCATTGAATTAAATATATACCTTGTACATGTCTATGAAAGGTCAAGATAAATTTTAATAATAAATTGTAACATATAATAAATCATAAAATTAATATTGCATTATGAGCTAACAGTTCTAATTTTGGTAGTCGCGATGTTTGTAAGATTATTGGTCTTTAAAAGCATCTCGTCGGGGTATCAAAATTAATAACAAAGTGCATGTTTATCATTCTTTAAAATGGAATCTTTCACTACAGCCGTTTACATGGAAAAGCATGGAATGTCAAAAGTAAAAGGCCTGTTCCATGTAATATAATACATGTAGTGATATATAATATATATATATATACACATAAATTATATTTTGCATAACTTAAGTTTGTTTTAATTCCTTCAACAAGCCATTATATCGTCTGTAAATTATTCTCGAATTATGCTAATATCGATATAAATTTTTATTTGACGATTGTGCGAATAATCATTGAACAAATCTACATTGATAATTATTTGATTTAGCATATGTATATTGTGCTAAACTAAATAATGTGCGTCCGTATATTTATTCTGTTATTTAATAAATTGTAGTTACAAGATTATCGTTAATACTGCCGTGTAAAGATGTTAAGCAATTGCGACAGCTTTGGAAATTTTTGTAAATATAAAAAAATTATGAAATACCTGATTAGCACTCAGTCTTTAATATGATTGGTTTTTTTAGTTCTTTGATGGACCTAAAGCCCTGTGTCCACGGTGCTAGAATTCTGTCTGAATTCTTGGACCGAAAAATGTAGGTCCTTCCTTTTTAGCTAAAGTTTTTGCACGGTTCATTTTCTTCCTTTTCAGGATGGAGAGAAAAAAGAAAAGATATACCGTGCAAGAAGTTCAGTTAAAAAGAACAAGCTTTATGTAGCTCGGACCGAGTTCTTGGATCTTTTCTAGAAATGTGTAGCCAATCAACATGTAGTTTTTCGAAAAAATGGTGAGTTGATTGGTTACACATTTCTCGATCGGTCCGAGAATTCGAATTGAGTTCTAGCATCGTGAACACGAGGCTTTATAAAAGAAAATTGCAAGGATATGAAAATCGGAGAGGATATTTACGATGATGCGAAATAATTTGTCGCTATAGCTACATCGAAAGTCACCGTCCAGTCAATCCACGGTCGATGAATTGCGTCAAAAATAACGACGAGTGCGTCCAATCCGATATTATTTTTTCAAGGCGATCTAAATATACGCGCGCACAACACCCGCTCGCGATACGATTTATGGTATGGTTTATGGCGGATTGGCGGCTGGCTCCCTTTATGGTTGCTTTAGGAACGCACAGTTCGACAGTACCGTCAAAATCTCCGACATACCGATGATCGTGCTGGAGATGCTGCTGATAGCAGGATCGTAGTAAAAAGGAGGAAGGAGTGAGAGAGAGAGAAAAAAAGAGGAGAAAAAGAAAACAAAAGTGCCGCTCTTATACCTTGGTTGATTCGGTTCCCTCGACTTTACGCGGGTTTGGCTTCCGCGTACACCGTGTCACCGGGCACATTCCGGTTTGTTTTTCCTTTCTTTTTTTCGTTGCAAGACACCCGCCACTCGGCATCCCCTCCGGGGTCGTATCTCGGGATCGTCCGCTCGATCGCCGCTGTCGTCGTCGTCGTCTAACCGGCTGTGAAAGGACTTCGTAATCATGGCTAGTGTGTCCTATCAAATAGCAAATCTACTGGAAAAGGTAATAAATGGCATTGACAATGTACTGACAGCTACATCGAGGAAATGTCCTGCTCGTAAAGTCTTATTTCATCATGGTATCTCTCCCTTTTTTGCAACATAACCTCGCATTTATCTTTACTTCACAGAAGAATAATTAGCCGTTAACCTTTACATGGGAGTCGCGAAATATATTATTCTCAAAACCAATCGTATCTTACATCCGATCAAATGTCAAACAGACATATGTTTTCTTAGACCCCAAAATTTTCGTAAAAAAGTTCTTTGGCCTTCTAAAGTTTAAAATGGTTCATAACTATTAAAAAGATAGAGGAAGTAATATAATACACATATATGTATTGATTTTGGAGTATATTTTTGTTCGTATGTTTCTTCCTAATCAAGGCATAATTTTTTTTGTTTATTTGAGCAGATACATTTATCTTTTCACATTCTAATAATAGGGAACAATGGTTATAATATTATATTACAATAATAAACCTGTTTTATAACTGAACCTCTTGCACAATTTATCTTTCTTCCTTTATTCTCCATTTTAGAGACAAAAGAGGAAAGATAAACAAGAAGTATAAAAAGTTTAGCTAATAAGAATATGCCTATTATTATGTGCTATATATAATACTTATATAAACATAAAAGATTGAATCTTCAATCGATTCACACTCTCTCTCTCTCTCTCTCTCTCTCTCTCTCTCTCTCTCTCTCTCTCTCTCTCTCTTTCTCTCTGATAGAATTTATTAAATAAATTGGATCTGTACAAAAAATAATTAACCATTAAAATGATTCATAACTTTCTTTAAAAAAAAAAATAGGGAAAGTGATACACATATATTTATCGATTTTAAAGTATAAATTTGTTTACTTTTAATTTATCTTTAGTTCTAATCAAGTTTCTTTTATTTGTTTGAATAGGGAAGATTGTTTCATCTTTGTACTGGCTATAGAAAAATAAGCCCTATGTTATGTTATGTGATAAGCAATATGCCATAAAATCTATGAATAAAGACATTCTAATCTTCCATCAGTTGTAACATTGTACAAAAAAAAAACTAGACTTTTTGACTGATTTCATCAACATTCAAGTTGCGCAAGCGTGGATAGAATGATCTATCTCAAAAGCTTATATATTTATCTCTAATTGTATTAATTGTTTGGATACTAAATCTTATCTTTGTTGATTTTTCGTAATATTGTACATTATAGATTAATATTTCTAATTTTATGATTAAATGTATCATGTGTTTCCATTATGTACACTCTGTATATTCCTTGTTTTTTGTTTTTATAATATAATGGTATTTGTATTCTTTTTGCAGATGACATCCAGTGATAAGGACTTCAGATTTATGGCAACTAATGATTTGATGAGTGAACTACAGAAAGACAGCATTAAACTGGATGATGATTCTGAACGCAAAGTTGTAAAAATGCTTCTTAAGTTATTGGAAGATAAAAATGGAGAAGTGCAGAATCTTGCTGTTAAATGGTAGATTCCTTTATTTAAATATCTTACCAAAATAATTCTTAATATATATATTTATATATATATATAATTCTATATATCTCTTACTTTAAAAGTAACACAAAAAATAAATTTTCTGAAAAATAGAAAAAATTTTTTTAACTTGACATAAAATTATTGACTGATCAGATAATATTGGCAAAAGTAATACAATCTCAACATAATCGTTGCCATTTTTGTTTTTGTTTACAACCAGTAAACAATCATCTTTTTTGAGTTGATGGTTTTTTAAAATCATTCTTTCCAAATTGTAATGATTTTAACCATTTTCTCTTAGTTTAACTTTTAATGATTGATAGACTAATGTTTACTTAATTAATTCATTACAATAACTCGAAAATCACTTTTCAATTATGTAACTTTTGAAGTAATAAATCAAAGTATTTTGTATACATTAATTTTTTGTATTAATTTCTTTACCTAATAACAGCATAAATTATTAATATATTATATATGATATCAAATCTTACTGTACCGTGAGAGTTTTAAACTAAATACCAATGAGAACATATTTATGAGATAATATGTATATAGATAAGAGAGTGAAGAAAAGCATAAAGTGTTATGCATATTTATTTTGCTTTGAGGGATTCTTTATCTAATTTTACAATTCAATTTTTTCAGTTTGGGTCCATTAGTCAATAAAGTAAAGGACTACCAGGTGGAAACTATTGTGGATGCTTTATGTACCAATATGGTCTCGGACAAAGAGCAGCTACGTGATATCTCCAGCATTGGCTTGAAGACTGTTATTTCCGAGCTTCCTGTGGGTTCTAGTGCATTAGTTGCAAATGTTTGTAGACGTGTTACAAACAAATTAAGCAGTGCTATTGAAAAAGTAATTGATCTTTATCTGATTCTTTCGCTGCAAATTTTAATATTTCTAGTTAATAATGTATATGTATAATGTATGTAATGCATTTTTAGCAAGAAGATGTATCTGTACAATTAGAAGCTCTCGACATTGTAGCTGACTTATTATCTCGATTTGGCGCTCTGCTAGTCACGTTTCATCCTATAATTTTGTCTGCGCTACTACCGCAACTCTCCTCGC